AGAATACCAACAAAAAATGAAAACATCGAATTAAAAAATTATAAATTTTACAAACAATTATAGATATTACAAAATATATATTTTTTTATTTCTATACACAATAAAAATATTAAAAAGTTAACAATTACAGAATAAACAAAAGCACACAAATAAAATAGAAATATTGAGTTTAAAAAATTGAAATATAGATGTAAAAATTCAAAACTCAACTTCCGTGTGATATATTTTAAAACAATTGTTGATACATAGTGCTACCTTACAATCCGGACTCCAGTATGTAGATTCTTTCCTAACACCTTTTTTGTAGCAAATTCGGCATTTCCTGGGTTTAGTTTTTCCTATATCTTTTCATTTGTTCTGGAAAATGCCTTTCAACTAAGCTTGATGGTTTAGATGTAGAGCTGCTTGTTGATGTCTTTGGGTGGGTTTTCACTATGTTGTTATCTACTAATTTCTCTACACACTCGATCAAAAAGTGTAATCGATCCAAATGACCTTTATCTTTTTTGTATATAATATATGCATTGAAGCAGCACATATCAATTAATCGTAGAGAAAATTTTTTATAAAATTTTTTTACCCTATTACGGGCAGCCGTGTAGGCCACCATAACTCCATCTCCCAAATCTATGCAGCCCATATTCTTGTTATAATCCAGGACAACATTCGGTTTTTCTTGCCTTCTTCCTCTTTTTTCAATCATTGTCTTTTCATCATTATGAATAGAACTGAGCATCAATACGTCTTTTTTATCCTTCCATTTTAAAACCATAAATTTGTCTTTGATTCTTACATATGTTCATTTTTCTGTAATTTTTTTTTTTTATTTCACTAGGGATTCCGACTCTGTTTATCCTCATTGTTTCAACAATGTTTGTATTATCTTGACACAAGAGTTCAGCCAAATGAATTGACGTATAGAAATTATCTAAGTAAATCCTATACCCTTTAGTCAGTAAGTCATGTGTTAACTCCAAAACAATTCTTGTTGATTGTTTTTCTTGTGGGTAGTTCGAACCATAATTTGTGTCCTTGCCTGTGTATAAAATTATATTTTTTACGTATCCAGATTGGCTTTCACTCAAAATAAACAATTTCATTCCAAATCTAGCTCTTTTTGTAGATATATATTGTTTCCAAGATAAATTACCTTTCCATAATAAAAGAGATTCATCTACGCATATTTCTTGTTCACATACATAAAAACTTTTAAACTTTTCTGACAAATTATTGATGATTGGATCAATTTTATATGTTTTTTATTATATAAAGGTTGGAGATATAAAAATATAAATAATATATAATACGAAAATAGGTAAGTGTAAGTACGTACCCATCACTGCTCACCCAGAACAGGTCTACCACTCTCAATAGCGAAATTATACTGATTCCCTCCGTGTCTTAAATTCATGTCGAGACATGTATGGATGACTGATACCTTTGTTGTTTGGAAATACACGTCCCACCCATTTCAGGGCACAACATATATTTCAAGAACGTATTCATATGTCCTACCGGTACCCGATATTGTTTAAGTTTGACGTATTTATACGTCCCGATCGGTTAACAGGTTAATAGGAATGTTGTTTTTCCATAGTAAATTCCCCTCAATATTGGAATGAGTAAAGTAGAATAAAACAGGTGTTTATAGATGACGTTAGTAGAACAAGGAATTCATTTCCTTGTGTAGTGTATCAATAGTGTCATGTCTCCGCATTACTATCAATAGTATATTGAGGAGAACTTCAGTATTAGAGTGCAAAAACTAATTGAGTATTTTGAGAATAGAGTGTTATAAGTATGGCACTAGGTTTTTAATCATGAGATGGTCAATGCAAACTGGGTAAGCAAAACACCTTAGTTCAAGCCAGCAATTATTTTATTTCTTTTAAAATTTATTGACTTTTTTTACGGAGAGAGGAAAGGAGAGAGAGAGGGAGAGAGAGAGAGGGAGAGGGAAAATGAGAGGGAGAGAAAGAGGGAAAGAGGGAGGGAGAGAGAGAGGAGGGGGCAGGCATTGATGTGAAAGATAAACTTGATTGTTTGCCTCTTATATGCACCCCAATTGGGGATCAAACCTGTAGCCTGGGTATGTGCCCTGACCAGGCATTGAACCAGCAATCTTTGGGTGCATGAGATAATGCTCAGCCAACTGAGCAACACTAGCTAAGGCAAGTCAGCATTTCTTGATTGTAAATCACAGTAATTCTTATCATGGTTGGGGACTGGGGACCGTGTCTGGCCGAATATAAGGTTGGACATGAGCAATTTTGGCCAAATTGCAGTTATTTGTATGTGTAGAAAAGGCACATTAAGAAAGAAATATCTAGAAAAATAGAGGCTATAGACAAATAGAAAATTAAATATGTGCCAGAAATAGATAAAGAATAAAGGAAGAGGGTTGGGAGAAAGGCCATTTTTATAAAATTGTTAATTGGAGAATTAGCCGAATTACAGGGAGGAAAAGTGCCTTCTAAGTTAGGAGAATTGTGGTAACTTCTAAAGTTTTGTACAGCGTGGGCCTGTTGTTGGGCCAAAGCCAAATGCTTCCAGATGGTCATGGTAATCAGGAGGCTCCCTGACAACTCACTCCAGAGTCTAAACAAATGGAAAATGAAAGATATGGCTCCTTAATAAGATTGCCTATGCATTCAAACAGTGGCATCCGTTATCAAGCATTCTGCTGATGCTGTGGCTGCTATCCTATCACAGAAGCTATTTTACTTAAGATGAGAGGAGTCCTTGTTAATAACACTGCCTGTATTTCCTATACTGTTTTTAGATGACATACCAACACTGCAGGAAATAAAATGAAATAGACCCAGAGAGAACTCTGTAGCAATTTCACCCTTTTATATGCCATATGGAGTCATCAATTCCTGAATAAACTCACGATTTAAGATATGCATGTTAGTACATATATATCCATGTATAAAATAAGAATCTACCACAAATTTTTCCTAGATGTATTTTCACAATGGAAGGACTTTTAATGTATATGAAAAATGAATGTAGTCAATCACATTAAAAGTTATTTTCAACTTCTGTAGTTGGGCAAAGACAAAAATATAAACATCTCATTTTTATGTTAAAGTATAAAATAAATGTAAAGAAATTTATTCATTTTTTCTGAGATACATGAGACTGTTCTACAGAAGACTGGTAATAAAGGAGATTTCAATTGGTATACTATTATAAAAATATAACCCAGAAATCCTAGAAAATTGTGTTAGGAAAATGAGGATGAGTTGAAGGTTAGTAAATATTTAAAGGAAAATATGAATATTTGATACTCAAACAAATAGCCAATCTTGCTTTTCTTTTTTTCCTATCATACAATAGTTGCTAAATATTACTGCCTATCATTTATTGCCTGAAAATTACTAGAATCTATGTATATCTTAGCAGTGTTCTTACTTATTAAGCAAATCTGTTTTTACATAATTCTTAATTATAAAGCAAATCTATTTTTGTGAAAGAGATGAAATGAAATAAAATAATATTGGTCCTGTCCTTTAAATGGCGTTAATTTAAAAATATGTTTTTGATATTATGCTCTGAATTGTTAGATTATGTTCACGAATAGCTGATTTGTATCCTTGGATTGAAACAATTCTTGAGATTAAAAAATATCAGGAATTCATTCACTCAAAGCCATGTGGCTGACGTGAAATGGTGGTCTTAAACACTGGGATTGTTTAAAATGAATCATTTCCATAGGGCATTGCAGGGCATGAGTCTTGGAAAAAGCAAACCCTACTTCTAAACGGGATATGTTTAGATTTGTTTTGACATTTCTTTTGACAATATTGTGGGGAATAGAATGGAAGGAGCATAACTGGGTGAAAGTTGGCTAGGTATTTTAATAATCAATTAAAAGCATCAACTCTAAATCCAGGTTGCTGAGGATTGAGCACAGCATACATACTAGCTGTGAGACTTTGGGTGAATCACTTAGTCTCCCTATGTATCAATTTTCCTATCAGTTATTTAAGAATAATAATAATAGTTACCTCAAGGGTCATCATCAGAAATAAATGAGGTAATGTCCCAGAGAACATGCCAGGCACAAGGCAAGCACAATATAAGTGCATGTGGTAGTGAACTAGGATGATCAGAATGGAGATAGAAATAAGTGGAGCACATTTTAGTACACTTGGGTATGAGAATGAGCAATGTTTAGTGATGGTCTGACTATAAGTAGTGAGGAAGGTAGTGTCATATGCCATTCACTGAAATACAGTGTTAAAGGATAAGGGATTGTGTGAGCCATGGGAACTTACAAATATATATATGGTCTTAAGAATGATGGTCCTAGGTAAAATAAAAAAATTAAAAAAATATATAATAGTCTTTGTTTTGTCTGAGTAGAACATATGGGATAAGTTAAGTTCATGGGAAAGATAAAAATTAAGTGTTCTGAACTTCATTTAGTTGCTACTTGACGGAGTGATATAAGTGAGAAAGATTTTTCCCTCCGCTGATAGGATTATGGGTGGTGAAAGTCTTGCACCCAACTTCTCTTCAAGAAGTTTGCATCATTAGTAGGTGATATGCTTCATGATCACACTGACCTTCTGGTATTAGCACAACAAAGCCTTTTAAAGAAATCAATATTGTAGAGAATGAGCTGTTATGAATATGTATAAATCCCCTGTACCTATAGTTTGTTCTCATAACTAATGATTTTTACTTGTTTTTTTTTTAAATGAAGCTGTCCTAAAATATGTTTACATTCACACAGTTTGTTAAAAAAAAGTATTTTCATAAACCTAGAATTATTATTGTAATGCTTTATAATTCTTTGAATTCCTTAAATAGAATGCTGAGTAAATAAGTGCTCCTATATTTGATGGATCATTGATTGATATAAACTCCGTATTTCTTTTAATTTGTTGGTTATTTTGTATTTTATATATAAGGGCATTAAGTTGCAAGTAAATCCATGATTGTATGCCAATTTTGATAACTCATCCTTTCTGTTTTCCTTATTCTTCTAGTCTGCTCCCAGTTTTCAAGAGGAGTCTATGCTATTTTTGGATTTTATGACAAGAAGTCTGTAAATACCATCACATCATTTTGTGGAACGCTCCATGTCTCCTTCATCACTCCCAGCTTCCCAACCGATGGCACACATCCATTCGTCATTCAGATGAGACCTGACCTCAAAGGAGCTCTTCTTAGCTTGATTGAATACTATCAGTGGGACAAGTTTGCGTACCTCTATGACAGTGACAGAGGTAAGTGAAAATATCCCTGTCTCTTGATAATGGGTCAAATTCAGTGCCTAACTTGACACTAATATGGGGCATTACAGAGCTACCTAGCTGTATTAAAATCCAAGGGTTACATGGTTTCATTTTTCTGTGTAAATGAAAAATGCAATTCAAAACCTGGGAAACATATTTAGAGTAAAAATAACTGTGAATGTATAATTTACAGATATAGGCTGTGTTCCCAAGGCCCCACTGTAACTTACACCAAACCTTCTGGTAGCAGCAGTTAAGACTCTGGTGACTAGATTACTAGTTCAAGGTCAGTAAAGTGGTTGCCTTGGGAACTGAAGTAAAATTTGTAGTAACACATAAATAAGAACTGCTACAGAAATTTGTAGTTATTACATATTTTCAAATGCAAACGTTTTATCAGGTAGTTATAATTACTATTTAACTTTGCTTTAAAATGGGATTGCTAAATCTCAGACAAGTTAAAGCCTTGCTCGTGATTCTGCCGTAAGTGTTCCTACTGACCAAAGGTTTTCTGACACCAAATTCATGTTTATTTCATAATTCTATCTGATTGTTTATAATGAGATGTTCTTGATTAGCATGGTAATTGGATAGAGTCTTGGCTCATTATATAACTTTTATTTTGGGGGTGGTCCTTCCTTGTGCTTTCCATGTCCATTGTTGAGAAGTTTAATATTAGCAGTCCTGCCTGATTCACATATTGTAGTATTCCAGATATCTCAACCATCCCTGGGTCCACGATTCAGCGTCTGTGCGTCTGTGTACTACCTAAAATTGTATGAACATTTTGTGCTCATGTTCATTTATGTAATTTTCTAGAAGGAGTATCCATACCCAAACTGGAAAGGGTTAAGAACCATTATTGTAAGAGTACCTAAGTACTCTTCTTCAGTAGCTTGCTTTCTGGTCTATTTAGAGGTTCAAATGTAAAAGAGAAGCCTGTTTCCACCAAGACAGGGCACCTCATTAACCCACAAGGCAAGACAGGAAGAGAGCCAGCCATCAGTCAATTCTCCATTGATCAGTTTGTAGTCATTTGCTGCAGGAGGCCTAAGTCAGGAGTGCTAAAGCTAGGTGTCTGATTCTCTGCTCCATCCTCCCAGTCTGACAGTGGAAAAATGAGTCAGCACTATACAAGCTGAAAAATTTGCCTTGTCAACAACTTCTCTCCAGGCTTTGAGAAAGGAGAGCTTTGCTCTTCCTATGGCGAATGGAAAACTAAAACTCAGAACTATTTAATGTGAATATGGACTCCAATGTGCTGGATAATTCTGAACCATATTTTAAATTGTGGTAAAAAGCCTTATAGAACTGAGACCAATCTTAGTCTTTCCTCTTACTCTTTAAACTCCTTGATTACTCCATTATGTTAATAAAACTAACCTGGAATTGGGAGTATTCTCAGTAGCTCTTTCAGCTTTCCATTCTATTGATGTGATTTCCAACTATCAATACATATATATTTTTTTCTCTAGACACTCTTCTTTTTCATTGCCTTGACTCCAGACCAACCCACTGTCATGTGTTTATTCCATTGTGTCTCCATTTCTTCACTTATTTTTCTTTAACTCAGTTCTACAAAGTAGCCAGGATTTTTAAATACTTCTTTGAGCATATCACTCCCTTTCTTAAAACACTTTAATGACTTATTATCTATACTAATAAAAGAATAATATGCTAATTAGACTGGGCATCTTTCAGATAAAGCCATGGTGGAGGAGGCCAAGGCAGAGATGGTTAGAGGCAACCAGGCAGGCAGGGGAGCAGTTAGGGGTGATCAGGCAGGCAGGCACAGTGGATAGGAGTGATCAGGCAACTGCAGTCAGGTGAGCAATTAGGAGCCAGCATTCCCAGATTGCAATTGGGATGTCCGACTGCCGGTTTAGGCCCAATTCAAGGGTTCCTGGATTGGAGAGCTGTGGCTGAGGGACCCCTCCTATGCCCTCCCCGTCCCCGGGCACAAATTGCATGCACACACCTTTAGTAATGCATATAAACTTGAAAATTCTTAGCACAGCTTTAACACTGGTTCCTGCCAGTTTATCCTACTGTCCAGCCCACTCACTAAGCTAACCACCTAACTAACCTTCATTCACTTTTCAGATGAACCAGTCTTTCACCTCAAATCTTTGCACACATCTCTAATTCTTTATCTCCCTTCATATCTATATTATATAGCATTTTCATGGAGATGCATTTCATACTGTTATTCTTTCAAAGATGCATTTCATACTGTTATTCTTTCAAAGCAATCTCTTCTTTTCCTACATAGTACTTATCACAATTTATGATTAATAATGGTGTTCATTCCTTCACCTAAGAAGTGCTAATGAGCTTCCACTATATTCCAGGGACTGTTTTAATCATACAGGCTAAGGATTATGCTTTTTACTTAAGACTAGAAGCCTGATGCACTAAGATTCATGCTAGAATGGGCTTTCCTTTCCCTGGCTGCTGGCACTGCCTTTCCGTTCCAGCCCAGCCCCTTTCCACTCAGGCCTCAGAGCTGCCTCTTTTCACTCTAGGAACCACCGCTTTCTGCCTCACACTGCCAGAGGCCCTGAGAGACCTGGGGTGGGGCAGAAACACCCCATTGTCACCATGGTAATGACACAAGTGTCCTACCCCATCACTAGGTGGCTGTGTATGCAAATTAACCACCATCTTTATTGGATTAATTTGCATATCACTTTCTGGTTGGCTGGTGGTGTAGTGGAGGTATAGTTGATTTACATGTTTTTGTATTATTAGGTAAGATATGGCTATAAACCTAAAGGCAATGCCCAAGCAGGACCAGAACACTGGTATACAGTTCTTAACTGTACACACAGTGCTTAAGATAATGCTGGGACAGAGTTGATAGTCAATAAATAGTAGTAATAAGTGAATGGGTTTAGACTCTGTGTATTTTAAGTTTGCGATGATATTAGATCCTGCTGCATCTTGCTTGTTAATTCCAAGGATCAGAAGATGAATTCTCTTTACTGTTTCACAAAGTTGAAGGTGGTATTTTTACTTTAGGGACACACTTTGCCCTCACTGTGCCCTCTAGATGAAACTGAACTTTGTAGAACATTTAAGTAGACAACAGCTGACATAAATAGAAAAGAAGAAACTCGAGTATTTGAGGAGAGAGACTAAAGAAAGGAAAGATCTGGGGAATGATGTGGTGAAGGGGGTTGGATTTATGTACTTGTGAAAAGAACCTGAGACATTTAAAATGATTTTATTAACACTTTAGAATTATTAAATGAAATTTAAGTGATGAGATAATCTCTTGTCATTAAATTATACAAATGAATTTGAGTTCAAGTGCATTGTTGAGAGAAATGAGAGTTATTAAGTAATTATATAGTAAAGTGAAAAATGACCTTATGGTTACATTTTTAAGTGTTTTTTAAATAGCTGCTCATGTTTTAATATGAAGAGTATTGCACTGGCTTTTCATCTGCAACAATTTTCAGGGATAAGTGTGTAAGACTCAAAACACTAGTATAAGATTTGACCTTTACTTAGTGTTTTACTTGGCTCATGGAAATGGGATTTTTGCTATCTAAAATTCTTATTATAAAAATTTTATAGCTTTGTTATATGTATAAAAGTTTATTTATGCATTTGTCATGTGACATTGTTTCTTTCCTTTGGTTCTTAAGCCATTATTTATTTGTTTTTACATTTCAGGGAAGCACCCTCTTATTTTAGCACTACCTGAATTGAGAACACATTTTTATTCTTTTTATTCATAGTACACATGCTTTTAAAAATAGATTCCATAATTTTCATCTCTCAACTTACATGTCTACATGGTTCAATTTCAAAAGATTTTGGTCTGTTTTTCTGGAATGATATGCTTTTAAATTTATTTTCAGTATTTCATAAGCTTTATTTTCTGATGGTCTAACTCAGGTAACCATATTTAATTTTTTAAAATTGCTAAATTTCTAAATAAAATAACTGATGTTCTTTGGAACAGCAGAGGGCTCTAGCATGAAAAATGGCTCTCCAACATTCTGCCCTGAATACAAACTAGATAAAATTGTAAGACTTAAAATGCTTCCATGCTGCTGCTTTGCACTGCTCTTAACTATAAAACCTTTCCTGCATCCAATTACTCATGACATCCAGTGTTGAGCCACTGTCCAGTAAGTGCATCCCAGTTGTAAACAAATGAGAACGTAGATGTCTCCTGATATTTGTACAGGTCTTCTTTGATTATTTCAAATATGGGTGAGAGGACTGCTGAAATGTTCATGGGTTGCTGTGTGACCTTTAGGATTGCTGGTGTCTTCCATTTATCCAAACATGTGGCAGCAGCCTGGCAATACTTTATGACCCAGTGCTCTCTAAAAACTGTATATTACTCCTCCATAGAGAGTTGGTAGATAGACCTTAAATACATTTTGAACTATAGACTAACATGAATTAAATACAGAATTAGAATCAGACTCAATAAAATGTGTTTATTTATCAGTTTAATGTCAATAAAGTAAGGTAATATATTTCTACAGACAGTAGGTTTTAATTTTGAGCCATACTCTTTTTCCTGAAGGGAAACACTTATAAAAATTCTTCCAAATAATAATTTTTCTTTTCAGATGTTCCTGAAAAAGTCAATGAGAGAAATATATGTTAATTTAATATGGCTTAGGCATGCTGCCATGATTTAGTGATCATGAATATTAATTTCTGTGCCTGAAAGATGAATAAGGCCAATGAATTTTTAATGGACCAAAGAAAATATTTTTAAGGAGGAAGACATGGTCTGAATAAAATATACCTATTTGCAGTAATCATTTTTTAATTCCACCCATTAATGTCCAAACTAAAACATTTGGACTCACCTGATTTTAGGCTGATGGATTTTCTATAACCTCTCATAATGTTATTGGCTGACAATGAGACTGAACTACTGCTACTAATACTTAGAGTTTTAGGGAGATTAAGATAGAGGTTATACAGCTATAACTTGCCCAGTAAAAATAGGCATTAGGGAGATTAAGATAGAGGTTATACAGCTATAACTTGTCCAGTAAAAATAGGCATAAGAGGAAGCAATGTAATCCAACAATTCTTTAAATTCTTAGACTTTTAATTAAAATAAAGAATGAAAATAAAGAATGACTAATTTTCAACTCTTATAATGTTCTTGAGGTTTTTCTTGAACATATTTTTAATATATTTACTAAGAAAAACAGTTAATTTTCTGGATTTTTCGAGATAGAATATGAACAACTGAATTTTAAGTTTTTTTCCAAGTAATCCAGCAATAATAACTCAAATATATAGTAATATAGATATTAGAGTTGAATAATTATTACCTACTAATGGCTTTAAATAAGCCAATATTCCTATAGAACCCCCACTGTCCATACATGTTTATATTCTGAATTGGGAAAGACTTGTATTTATAAAGATACTTCTATGTTAGTTTGTGTGAAAGGGAAAGAGACAGATCCCAAGAAACACTTGTTTCCCTAATTAGAGTATGGTACCAAGAGCATGTGTTTGTTTAAAGAATTTAATTTCTCTTCAATATTTATAACATGCATTTATTTTTAGTGAATTTTAAAGTTTAAAATGATCCATTAATTTTAAAAACAGCTTTTCCTTCTGAGAAGGGGTAGAGGGTTTGAGAGGGAAGAATATGAATCACTAAACACATGCATCAGCAATCTCTTCAAATCCTGAGTCCGATCATACCAAGGTGTGTCTTATTTCCACTGTCATTAGAGATGTTTTAATGTTGTTCAGTGTCTTCTGATTAAGTTCATCAAGTCTGATAGACATTACTTAAGCAGTTTAGCTTCTTAATAGATGAAAGTTATTTCAATTTCATAGGTTACACAGTATTAATTCTGAGAGTTTTAATCACAGAGGATCCACATCAATTGAGTTACTTTTGACTCATAGAATAAATGAGTCTGAAACCCAGCCATTACTTTAAATTAATTCTTATTGATTTTATATACCATATTCTTTGACAAGATGAACTGCCAATAAATATTAGATTAAGAAATATCACTTGATAAATTCCAATTGTCATATTTAAACTTCCTTGTAACATATGTTGAAAAATAGGGCAGAATGTCAAGAACATCACCGCTTGAAACTTATTTCAGTATGTGGTAAAATTAATAATTAAATAACTAAGAAGTAAAATTATTTTCTAGAAGAAAGGAAGCCCACTTTTAAATACTAGATGATAATATGTGGATAGCATATAGAACATCATCTGTGGGTGTAATGTTTCTAAGGAGGTGACATGAAAAAGTTGCATAAGGATTGGAATGTGGAAAAAGTAAAATCTTGACAGTAGAAGATGTTTAGAAAATTAGCTTTTCTTTTTTATACTTGGAAAGAAAACTGGATAGAGTTAATAACTGTTTTGATAGCTATTGAATTTATCATGATGACCAGCTATGCATTCTATCTTCATTAATGAAAACCAAAAAGATGATTTGCATTGTATTATTGGAGGATTTAATTTACTTTTGGTGAATCACAGGTGATCTATGAAGTTATTAAAAGATGTTTTATCATTTTATCTCTATAAATTTTCTCTTGAGCAATTCTTATTTACACTATAATTTCTGTTACAAAACTGGATAGAGGCAACTAATTTTACCAAAGAAACACAAAATTCAAGACAATTTATGGTTCAACTTTTCCAATTGAAAAGTAATTTATTTTACATTTTCATTATGAAATATTTTAAATAACAAAATAGGATAATATAAAGACCACCACGAACTCTTAACCAAGCTTAATTAATGACCATAATATGAGAAATCTTATTTTACTTATAGCCCTCTCTGCCTTTCAGTTATTTTGAAGCAAATACCTGACATCATGTCATTCCATTCGTTAATATTTCAATGTGTATTTTGAAAAATAATTCTCGTTTTAAACATAACCACAATATCATCATATATAAATAATAATAATTCCTTTTCATTTTTTAGAATTTTCTTGAATCAGGATAAATATAAGGTCCATATATCTCAAGCTTAAGGCTTTTATAATGTAACTAGAGACCTGGTGCACAAAATGTGTACACGGGTAGTGTCCCTAGGCCTGGCTGGTATCTGGGCCTTCTGGCTTCCTTCGTTCTGCCCTGCCCATGGTGGTCAGTGCATATCATAGTAAACGGTCTCCTGGTTGAACTCTTGTGGGTACAATATGCATATTAGGCTTTTATATATTAGGCTTTTATATACATGGATATAGAGTTGTTTACTGTTTGAATTTTGATGATTACAGCAAGATGGTGTTTAGCATATTACTCTTTGCCTTATATTTTATTTAAATTGGTAGTTTGATCTAGAAGCGCAATGGGATCCAAATTCACTTTTTTTTTTTTAATATAAATACTTCATAGGTGGGTTGAATATTCCCATTTGGAGACACATAACTTGTTGTGTCTCTTTTTGAGTTCTTAGCAGTAGTTATGATTGTTGCCTTGATACGTTAATTCACTAAGTGCTACAAAGTTGTTATAATTCTAAATCTATGTTCATTTATCATGTAGTAGCTGGAGTCTCTCCAATGAGAAAAACCATCATCCTGAGTGTACTTCATATAGGAAAGGCAGGAAAATGCTTGTCTCTCTTCATTTACCAATTTTCAAAGTAATAACTTGGCTCTCTAGTATCTACAATGGCAACCAAATATTTATCATTACAAATACATCATTATAAATTATGTATTTAAAGTGTTATGTAGATATCATTTTTTATTGATATTCATATTGCCTCATCTTTATTTAAAATGATCCTTACCAAATTGACTCATAAGTCCTTTGACAAAATCCTGGTAGTTCTGGAGAGCTTCCTTGCTTTCTGATATCACAAGATGTTCTAGGCTCAACTTATATACTCTTGGCCTATATGGAATATATATAATTTTTAATGATACTTTTAAAGTATCATTTTAAAGTATCAAGTAGTTTTCAACAACATTTAGAATGTACATATACTGTTACTATGATAAATAAATTTCAATAAATTTAGTACATGAATAAAACTTACAGAGCGATGTGGTCACTTTAGGAATATCTCATTTTTAAGGTAAAAAGGGATCAATATTCTTTTGGGAAAGATGCAAGTCTTTTTGGAATCAGGAAGATAATGTTATGATTCTGAATTCTTTTTGGAGCTTTGTGTTGTTCATTAAGCTATTAATAGAAATGATGGATTTGAGTTGGCTGTTGCAGTCATGTGAAAGACAGCTTCTGTACTGGCTTTCTAAGTGCTAAACTGCACATTGAACTTAAGGAAATAAATTCCCAAGTTGTTCTCCTCAATCCTACAAATGAAGTAATATATGGATATTAAAAATAGTAAGATTTTAAGGTATATGATATTATAAGCACAGTTACTAATAAGCAGTAAAATGGTTTTACATTTGAGAAGTTAAGTAAATTATAACAAATCTGTGCTAGAAAGCTAAATTCTACCATCTGGTTAATAAGAGAACATGATAAGTGAACATGTTAATCTCAATGGGATCAATCCCAATAACAAAACATGAAACAGAAGGCTGAGGAAAAAACAACTTATGAGTAGAAATATAGGAGGAAAGAGAGATTATTGGTTCTTAGACTCAAATGGACACACACAGTTTCACCTCACTGAAAATGTACTGAACTTCTTTAAGATATCAATATAACATGATAGATTGTCATAAATCATGAAACGTTTTCTTCCACTCTGTTAGAGAAAGAAATTTTTGTAATGTCTTTTGATTTCCCTCAAACCAGAGGTATTAAAGACATTATGCTTTAATAATATCAAAAAAAAAAAAGAGAGAGAGCTAAAAGAAGGGGATACTGGTCCCTCCAAACTAGGTCCCTTTAATCAGAACAATAGCATTTAGATAAAATGTGATGTGGCATGGAAACAAGTAGAAATTTATCAAGATCATAACTGTAGCTTTTTAGAAAAGTCAACATCAATTTAGCTGCACAAAAGTATCAGCCTTAAACATATATTGTCCCCCAGGTTGGGTAGCTCAGTTGGTTACAACATGGTCCAGATACACCAAGGTTGCAGGCTCAATCTCTAGTCAGAGTACATACAAGAATCAGATAATGAATGTATAAATATGTGGAACAACAAACCAATGTTTCTCTCTCTCTCTCCCCCCTTCTCTCTCTCAAATATACACACACAGACACATATGTATATACATATATGTGTTTGCTGTCAATTTTACAACACAGCAAACTGGGTATTTTTTTTTTTTTTTTTTAGTATCTTTTTTGAGTATCTTTTATCAGTCATCATTTTTCTGTTCCTTCCTAGGCTTATCAACACTGCAAGCTGTGCTGGATTCTGCTGCTGAAAAGAAATGGCAAGTGACTGCTATCAATGTGGGAAATATTAACAATGACAAGAAAGATGAGACCTACCGATCACTTTTTCAAGATCTAGAGTTAAAAAAGGAACGGCGTGTAATCCTGGACTGTGAACGGGATAAAGTAAACGACATTGTAGACCAGGTTTGCTATTCTCTTTTTTCTAATGGGCCTAAATATAGAATATGCATGCCCTGTCAGCGTTTGGATCGAGTATTTGTGGAAGGTGCTTGAACAGCAGTTTTTACTTTATGGTTTATGTAGGATGCGGCAAAGATCATCAATTAAATTATCTCCAGCATCCGTTAGCAATAGCAGATGGTCTTCAATAATGCTGACACATCAGACTGATCATGAAATATCATTAAATTGATATTTAATTCTGAACTTTCACATTTTACATTAGTGTTGCTCTAAACCTTGATGTTTTTAATTGGAAATTTAAATTTAAATTTTGTTGAACTTCTTAGAGATAAAGAAATAGACATGGATTAAGTCTGGTTTCTGCGAGAAAAGTAAATAATTCATGAATTCTTTGATGATACAGTGGATTAAACTATGTCTTGTTGCCTTTTCTGAAGACATAAACCCATTTAGACATGTATTTATTTTTCCACGAGGTGATTTTTTCCCCATCCTATTAGGGAGATTTTGTGTCAATTTAAAACTATTAATCTATAAAATTAAAATGTATAAGGAAGACACATTCAGTTTGTGTTCACTGTTGAGAAGCATGCAAGATAGTTTTTTCATTTGGAATGTTTTAAGGGGTAAGATGATACCAGAACTATAGAGGCTTTATCTGTGTTTACTATACTATAATACCTTGTCTCAGTTCAAGATATTTTAGGACAGAAAGCCATGCAGTAATATATTATGAGAAAAATTTAATCCACTATGGTTATAGAAAGGGTAAGTGATGACAGATGGTAGCAAAGCAGCATTACTAAGACCTCATTCACAGGGCATCTGCTTCTTTTCTTAGCTGGTGTGTGTGATTTCTAACTTATTTAGATGGCTGTAATGTAGTTGATATATAAAATAATACACAAACATATACATATATACACATTGAACTAGTTATTCTCCATTTTATACATATCTATTATATTAGGATTGCTGCCACTTCCTTGGAATAATACATATTTAGAAGAAAAACAGAGTTGAGTATGCATTTCTTAGAGTTCTTAGGCTTTGAGAAAACAATTAGATTCACTAGATGCTTGAATACAAATCATTTTGCATATATAAATGTTGATGAAGCTTTAATGACATGTTATAAATGGATCTTTTATAAGATATTGAATGCTATCTTCTTATATGACATAACTAAATGTTGTATGCCAGAGAGGTGAACATTTTACTAGAAAAATCTTGATTACTGTCTCAGGAGATAAATTTGGGATTGTTTTAAACCTGGAGGTCTTTTGTTCAAACGTGAACCTCAAAAACTCATTTGAATTTCATAGGAGATTCTCATTAAAACTGAATTTTAATATTAGCCATTAGTCTTTGCTTTAACATTTTAAGTAGCCCTTTAAGTTATCATAATAAATGTTGGGAAAGCCTGTATGAAAATAATTATTTCTAAAATTAGATGAGAGAAACTACAAGATAAACTAGAAGACATGGAATGGAATGTTTAGAAGCAATATTTTCATGGTTAAATAAATAACCATTTGGACATCCATTCAAAATGTACAGGGTATTTTGCACATATATGTGATTTGTATTTTCACAAAACACTCTTGAATATGTTAAATTAGTGTATGCAATAGATAGTTGCATTATTCAACATTTATTGCATCTGGAATGAGGGAAACAAAGAAAGGTAAGAAAGAGTGGTGTCCATGAACTGATTGTTTAGAAGGGAAGAAAAATGTACATATATAATTCTATAATATTATCAGTGATAATCAATGTGGTCTAAGAACATGGAGGAGGAAATACCTATCTTAACATGGCTGGGATGATCTATAAAGGTCATCTCTATGTGTAACATTTGGCTAGTGTAGATTCACTCATTTATTTATTCACTAAATTTTCCCAAGTGTCTAATGTTTACTGGACAGACACTGGAGTAAATTCAAAGCAGTAATGTTAAATCAGGCAAGTCCCCATCAAGGTGAATATTCATGGTATAACTACTGAAATTAATGCATCATTATGATAATGGTACATACTATGAATGAAAAGAGCAGGATGTTACTTTTCTAAATCACAAAAAGAGATAATTTAGACTGGGAGATTATGGAAGGCCTTCCAGGAATAGAGTTTACCAGGCAAAAAGTTGATAAAGTATATTTCAATAAAACATTATTTACTGCATCATTTTATCAATAATTAAAAGAGAGCTCAGATGTGATAAAATTTTGTTTTCATAGTAGCTTAAAGTTAAACTTTGTTTAGATTATGAGGTTTTTTTTTATCATTTAATGAAACATGGAGACACTAGTAATTTCAGTAGGAAACACACTCAGTCATGAAAAACATTAAGAAATTAATGTAGCTTTCTATTGTTAAATAATGCTAATGGTTATTATAAAGCAAATATATGATTGTTAGTATGGCCAACACTAATTCTTATATAGAAGTAGGGCTAATCAATTTTCATATCCTTCCTTCCTCTTCACACTAAATTCAAGTAGGGACTGCTGGTAGTACCATTTATACTATTTTTTTCTTAATTCCCAGAAGAAAAGATATTCATGATTCAGAAAGTAGATTAAACAGTAAATAGAACCAACAGATGCAGTAGGAAATATGAAGGACATAGTCACCTCAATTCAGCTGATGCTAATTAATATATATATTTTTTCATTTAGAAGGATATCTGGTCTTCAAAATCCACCTTTCAATATAGAGGTTCAATTTTTTTTAGAATAGCCAATTTAGTTGTGTTACATAAAAAACAGGTTAGAAAGTAATGTTAGTTCTAATTCCCTTGCAAACAACTACCACTTATTATGAAAGTAACATGGTAAAATACTTCCTAGGATTTTGCCCTTGCTCTTTAACTAAATGCGTTGCTAATGGAGCACCTGACTTTGCCTGGGACAAGGCCAAGGAAGTCTTCCAGGATATTCCATTGCACGGAGACTCATTGTACCTTAAGATGAAACAAGACAAAGGATATGGTGCTGGAGAGAATTTTCCAAGTAGAAGAAACAGAATTTGTCAAGCCCCAAAGGGATGGAAATAAGCCTTTTTTGTTACAAAAATACTGAGGGGCCAGAGGTCTGTTCATAGAAAGAGGGAAAAGTGGGCCCAGAGAAGCTTGAAAGACTGTTGGATTTTGTAGCATATGAAGGATTTTGACTTTTATGCTAAAAGTAACAGAAAGCCACCAAAACAGCAATCAAGAGAGGAGGTTAATGATTGGAAATTTTGTCTATTGCCCTGGTGTTTCATGCTTTCCATTGTGTAACTATTTTCTTAAAAATAAAAATTACACTTGAATAACACTTGAATATCCAAGTATCAGGGCTACAATATGGCCATTGTAACTGATATAGATCAGTGAAATGTCAAATTGATTCAACAAAGTCCAAAACTGTTCCAGCATTACTGAAACAGCTACTTGTTCCATAATGCATTTATTTTGCTATTGATTTTTTACTTAGATTTATGGATAAATAGCTTCTCTGATACTTTGCTGCCTCAAGCTATTATAGAAATAATGTTTATTTGAACTAAGCTATAAACATTTCAAGACTTTTAAGATAGGAATATTATTTTATAGATCTACAAAATAATTCATTTATATGCTTGTTAATAGTTGTTTTAAATTTATGTATGACTATAAACTCTGTGTGATTATCTTTGAATGTAGATGTGTGAATACGAAATCTCAGATGTTGATTTTAGCTGTTTAATGTTTCTAGCTGTTTAATGTTTCATTGAAAGGACAAAAAGCATAGCTATAAATTGGAGTAAAATTGTGACATGAATTCAACATGTCTTTGTTTTTAAATTTCTTTAAATCTTGTGGCCTTATTTTCAGTATTTTTGTTCAGTTATTGATTTTGAAAATTAACATCTATTAGGCACTAAAATATGTACTGTTACTTTTTCCTGAAAAAAAATATCTGGGTTTGACAGTTATATTTTATCAAATACACCTTATTATGGAATATAAAATAAAATAAAAAAACGGAAGTTAATTATTTTATTTTTTTTCTGAGTCAGGTCATTATGTTAATAATTTTACATTTACATTACTAATATTTATTAAATCATTTTTCTTTATCTGTGTTAGGTTATTACTATTGGAAAACATGTTAAAGGATATCATTACATCATTGCAAATCTGGTAGGTGAATTAATAATTTTAATGAAGATTTCTATTATTAATTAAAAAACTTTTGAACAGCCAGCACTTATCAGAAGTATTCATAAAAATATATTTGATTGTGTTAATTGATTAGGTGATAATATATTTCTGATTTTATGTTTAGATTTATTTCCCACTTTATATTTTTAATCAATTTCTTCTTCTTATAAATGTTATAATAAATTATAGAATAGTATTTGACAAGCTTTATAAATTGTCTTAAAAGATGTATTTTAACTACAGGAAATTTTTAAAAAATATATGAAATTTAACTCTCCCCAATTTCCCCTTGTATCTTACTGTCACTATATTTTATAAACTTTATTTTTTAAATATATATTTTATTGATTTTTTAAAGAGAGTAAGGGAGAGGAATAGAGAGCTAGAAACATCGATGAGAGAGAAACATCAAACAGCTGCCTCCTGCACATCCCCTACTGGAGATGTGCCCGCAACCAATGTACATGCCTTTGACTGGAATCGAACCTGGGACCCTTCACTCCGCAGACCGACGCTCTATCCACTGAGCCAAACCGGTTTGGGCTGCCCATTCCTTTAAAATGTTTAGCACATGTGATATTCAAAGTAAATGAACATTTGTTAGAATGTCTCAGTAAAAATTAAACCTGGAAATATCCAAATATATAAAGATTAAGTATTGTTTATTATTTACTACTTGCTGTATAAGCAACACGATGAAAGTTGGTTTCCCATAGCTAATCATATTTTTATTATGATTCCTATCAAAGAATGTATTGAATGTCCAAGTGGTTAATTGTATCTACTTCTTGAAATATTTTCTTCTTTTAAATACCTTTTATATCAGCAATAAAATAAGCTTAAAGCTTTACTTTTACCAAGATTTATATTACTTTAATAAGTACAATTCTATATGCTTGAGAACATCATCCCTCCCAAATCTCAGGAAAAATAGTGAGAAAAAGTTGAACAGAGGGAGAGAATGAGAGATTATTCTAAATAGCATAATAGGACCCTGAAAAAGTTGCATATTTATACCAATGCAGGTTTATTTCTTAGTCTGGACTATTAGATTGTTACATGAGAAAACATTTCTAGTAGTAATGTAAAGAGATAAGAGAAGAGAAGATAAATTACAAACTTATAATTAATATTTTTACTAGAAAGTGACACCAGTGATTTAGAATATTAAAAAAACTCAAACCCATACGTTATTGGGAGAAATTGGTTGTTCAAGATAATTTTTTTGTTTGGCAATGAAATGTCTAACTACTATAAAAACTCATTAGAACTTATAATATTGTCGGTCCTAAATCACCCCCTACTGGAGAAGCAAGAGTTAAAATAGACTAGCTCTACATCCAGTCTCTTCAGAACCAAATTTCTGAGCAGGAAACAGCCTGGACAGTAAGTCCCCTGTGTGAATTGTGCCATTTGATGAACAACACACAGCCACATTGAAAGCTGCAATCTTTAAAAATGTCCAGATGGAGAAGATTTTATTGGAACATTGAGAAATAATGACAGAAGGTGGCTCATCAATTTGAGAGTTGATAACTGATGCTATGAAAAATGATGAAAAATGAAAGAAGTGTTTTGAGTGTCCAAAGCAAAATGTTTTAAAAAGAAAGAGAAAGTTCATGCTGCTATGATGCAACCTACCCAATTTTTTCTCTGAATTCAAATTTTTGCTTTTTCTGATCTGAATACTTGGTATCCTTGTCATATGGAATTTCTGATGAATCAGTAAATTCAAAGATCTGTAGTGAGTCTCAGTTTCTGAGAAATTAGAGAACACTTGAAAATTTCACTGACATTTAAGATTGCAGAATGCTTTCCAAATTTGAAGGGTTTTTCACTTTCCAAACTATTGATTAAGAATGCCCCCTTTTTTTTCTGTCCAGGGTCTGAAGAGTATTAAAGTTGGCAGTTATGCACAGAAAAATCCTCACATTTTTGGTTACTTTCCTCAGCAATTGTTGAAAGCTTGCTTAGGCTGTAAGTTCCTGATATAGCATTTAAAAGGATAACTTGTAGTACATAAAGTGATGAAGATGCGGTCCATAATGGGATCCTTTTCTCATTTCTTCAACTCTTCAAATATTGACAATAAGCATTGCTATCTACCCCACCCATCTACCTTTCAGTAAAGCATACTCAGTAAGCCTCCCTCATGCACACAGAAATTTCAAATATTTTACTATTAAATAACCAAGCATAACCAGATATTTGAGAAAAAGTATTTGCTATGATGGATCCAATACACAGAAACAGGGCAAACCAGAATCACAAGAAAAATGTTTTAAAATGTAATGAGGCCGAAACCGGTTTGGCTCAGTGGATAGAGCGTCGGCCTATGGATTAAAAGGTCCCAGGTTTGATTCCGGTCAAGGGCATGTACCTTGGTTGTGGGCACATCCCCAGTAGGGGGTATGCAAGAGGCAGCTGATCGATGTTTCTCTCTCATCGATGTTTCTAGCCTTTTATCCCTCCTCCTCTCCGTAAAAACTCAATAAAATATATTTTTTTAAAAATGTAGTGAGTATCTGAAAATAAGAGAAAATATCTGCCTAATAAAAGAGTAACATGCTAATTGATCATACCTTTGTGACGCCCACCAGCCAATCAGGAGTATGCAAATTAACACAACAAAGATGGTGGTTTAATTTGCATATATGGGCACCAAGGGGCTGGGGTGGGGTGCTTGCGTCGTCATCATGGAAAGTCACATGTGTTCTGCACCACCCCAGCCACTCTCGGCAGCATGGGAAGGAGGAAAAGCATCTCCAGCCAGAGTGAAGGCAGTGCCAGCAACAAGGGAAGGCCCATTTTTGCATGAATCTTCATGCATTGGGCCTCTAGTACAGTGGTCGGCAAACTTATTAGTCAACAAAGCCAAATATCAATAGTACAACAATTGAAATTTCTTTTGAGAGCCAAATTTTTTAAACTTAAACTATATAGGTAGATACATTGCTATTAACTTGATTAGGGTACTCCTAAGCTGGCCTTCGCTAAAAACTCAAGGGTCGCAGTTTGCCAACCATTGCTCTAGTATAATCTATAAAAACAAAAGGATGCTATGGGAAAGAAAAAAATTAGAGAATAAGAAAGAGCCCTGGAAGTTGACTTATTTTTTTCTAATGTAAGTAAAAATTGAATGACTTTAAGGATAAAGTCGAGAAAAATCTTTCAGATTAGGTAACAAAATAACACTATAATATAAAGCAGTGTTATTGAATATAAGCATTTAGATTGATGTAAGAGTGAAAACAGGGGAAGGAAATTATCAAAGAAACATTCAGAAAAATTTCCTATGATGAATGACAAAAATCTGACCATTGAGTACATGCTATATATATATATATATATATATATATATATATATATATATGTATTTGTTAAAGTATTACATATGTGTCTTTATCTCCCCATTGACCCTCTATCTCCTGCTTGTGCCTTCACCCTCCTAGTGTCTGTGTCCAATGGTTATGTTTATATGCATCCATACAAGTCCTTTGATTGATCTCTACCCACTCCACCCACTCTCCCCTGACTTCCTTCTCAGGTTTGACAGTCTGTTTAATGCTTCTCTGTCTCTGGATCTATTTTTATTCATCAGATTATGTTGTTCATTATATTCCACAAATGAGATACGCTATTTAAAAAATCATCATGCAGTCACAGAGATAAATAGAATATTTTCAAGATTCCAGGTTAGTGGGAAGAGGGCAGATGTATGAAGAAGGTCACATCTAAAAACTAATAAATAATAAAATTGCGTTTTTCAGTAGAAATAATGAAAGTTAGTGGAACAATGCCTTTACATAATGAGGGTTTTGAATTAAAATTCTATGCCCAGCCAAAATACTAATCAAATGTTAGAGCAAAATAAAGGTATTTTTATACATTCAACATCTCAGGAAGTTTACCTCCAATATGTCTGAGGAAACTGACTATAGCAGAAGAGAGGAGTAAATGATGACAGAAAAGTGATCCAGGAAACAGAGGAACTACTAAGAAAAGCAGTGAAGGGCCACTAGGGTCACAGCTGCAGAGTAGAAGAGGAACCAACTCAGATCATAGGAATAAATAGTGTCAGAGCTCATGGAGCAGTAACTCATTACTAAGTATCTTTAACCACCGGAGGTGCTTTGTGGTAGATTTAATAAATAAAACACAGCCCTTTTCCATGAAATGGAGAACTCTTATGTATGTACCACCAATAAATAATCATGGATTAAGGACCCACTACGATGCCAAGGCTATGCTAGACGCTGGTGAATATTGGCTGGAAAATACCTGAAACATTTGCTATGGGCTTTTCATCCCTCATACATTCTTTGACATTTGTGAAATCCACAAGGCATAGAGTTATTTGATAAATGTCAGGTTCTGTTGGACATAAATGTATTCTCTGTCTAGGGATTTACGGATGGAGACCTATTAAAAATTCAGTTTGGAGGCGCAAACGTCTCTGGATTTCAGATAGTGGACTATGACGATTCCCTGGTATCTAAGTTTATAGAAAGATGGTCAACACTGGAAGAAAAAGAATACCCTGGAGCGCACACATCCACAATTAAGGTATGTATCCACCTGCCAATATCTACATCTCCATTGATATCTACCTGCTGACTAGTAGCCTGTTCTATGGAATACTTTAGAAAGAAGATAAAAATCTCAATTGATTTTAGTAATTAAAAAAAAAATGTCTTGCTTTATGCACTCAGGCATAGAATCTTTGCTGAGTGCAATGCACTGCTCTGATATAAGTACTACTCTGTTTCCCCGAAAATAAGACAGTGTCTTATATTAATTTTTGCTCCTAAAGATGCGCTAGGTCTTATTTTCAGGGGATGTCTTATCTTTCCATGCGCTAGGTCTTATTTTTGGAGGATGTCTTATTTTCGGGGAAACACGGTATGTAGATTGCTCTTTTATTTTTCATGGGTTTGGACACATTGAGGTCTTTACCTGTTAATTTGGTGTATTTTATTGGGTATACACATACATGCACAGACTTAGCTCCAATTATCCAATATTTCTGCCATTTATAGGAAGGTATTTTTCCACTGGTGGTCACCTGATTGAGAGCAGAGATAAGAGCAAAGCCTGGCAAAGAGTGGGATGAGGAGTGAGAGGCAGAAGGTGATGTTCATTCTTTATGAAACTAAACTTACAAAAATCAAGAGCAAACATTGCAAAACATTTTTAGATGCGTAGATTGAGTTTGTTTCTTTGTGTATTATAAATAGCTTGTGCATGAATCAGTCAGAGATGGTGTTATTTCAGTTGCTCTCACAATGATGTCTCTACATCACAGAGATATTTGTGTGTGCGTTTTTCTGCACATCTTGGAAAAAACAAATATTGATGTTTGTCTTTCAATTTGTGTCTGCTATGAAACTAGTTCTAGATAAGGATTTGAAGCTTTGAAGTTCTTAACATTTGAATGTGTAAATGGATCCTATTAAGTTCAAGTCCAATTCAGAAAAGCATCCCATTGGATGTGAAAGAATAACCCCAGAGTTAATTGTCCCTCAAAACTAGGTGACTTCTTGTTTGGTGACTTTGAGATTCAGCATGCACACTGTCTATAACAGCAGTGTGGGCTTGTGGGACTACTATCACCTAACAGGCTTCAGCAAAGGCCAATGGACACCGAGTTTCCCAGTCGATGTCACTGTGTGTCCCCTGTGCTCAGTGGAGGTCTGACTGCTGACCCAATTGTGTAGAATTGCAGGCGTCCATCCATTCAGAGATGGCACCATTTAAGTTAACGGATGAAGAGTGCAAGTGGCATTCCTCCTCAAATGGAACTAACAGTGCCCTCTTTGAATACTCTATTAGTCAGTGTGTTGCCTCCCACTGCTGCCTGCTGGGAGAAAGATGAAAGCAAAATGAGATGATTTTTTTTTCCTGTGCAAGTCATATCATTATTACAGTTCCTATGTCATGCATGAAAATGCAAAGTGATTTGGGGGTAGGAGAGATTTTGGCAATGCATTTTTTAAACATTTTTGCCAAAACTCAGAACCAGGCTTCCCTCTGTTGAGAGCCTGTCTGGTGACCTTTCTTTGCTCCCTCCCTGCTGTAGCATTTCACTCCCTGAGTCCTCCCTCTTGGGTGCTCCTGCCAAATGTCAGAGATCCTGCTGGCCCCTCATTGTGGAGAGCAGCACAGAGCATAGGCTTTAAACACTGCGGCCCTGATTCAGTGTTGGATGTGTAGTTCTTGTCTCCACAATTCAGCAGTGGCTATTATTCCCAGGTTGCCATGAAGATGCAACAACAGTTGCAGTGACTTAGCACAGCTTTAGAAACATAGGTGCCAAGAGAAGACAGGGTTTGTATGGCTTTAGAAGCTTGATCAAAATTAAGGCTTTAAGTAGGAGTTCATCCTAACACAGACATGTATGTTCATATACTAGCACACCAGGAACTCAATATATCTTCCACTATCAAACAGAAGATAAACATGACAATAAGCAAATACAGAGCATGCTACATGTGAAATATGCCAGCGCTGCTTCTGGTTATGCTAGAATGGGAGGGGTGATGGTAAGGAAGGCTTTCTGGAGGTAGGGCACCTGAGCAGGACCTTGCACGTGGCTGAGCAAGAAAGCAAGCAAGGGAGGCACTTAGGAAAGTGCAACCTATATGGAGACTCACAGTGATGCAATGGCTCAAGACAGATCCAGGGAGATTGACAACATGTAAGCCTGCGAACTATTCCCTCAACAATCTTGCCATCTCAGTTGATGGCAACTCTATCTTTTCAGTTGTTATTTTGACCACAAACTGGGAAATGTTCTTGATTCCTCTTTTTCCCCCAGTAACACACATTCAGTCTGTCAGGAAATCCTCTCAGCTCCGGCTTACTTCTTACCACCTCTTCCGTGCCTTCTAAATCCAACCACCATTGTCTCTGCCAGGATCATTGCAATGCTCGCCTATACCAGTTCTCCTTCCTCCACACCTGCCCTCTTTATCCCATGTTTGTGGTCCTTTAATTATTGATTTTTTTTACAGAGAGAAAGGGATAGAGTTAGAAACATCGAGGAAGATCGATCAGCTGCTTCCTGCACAACCCCTACTGGGGATGTGCTTGCAGCCAAGGTACATGTCCTTGACCAGAATCGAATCTGGGACCCTTCAGTCTGTAGGCCAATGCTCTATCCACTGAGCCAAATCAGTCAGGGCAGCTTGTGGTCCTTTTAAAACCACAAATAGAATATGACACACTGTCTGCTCCAAGACCCCCAATGGCTGTGTTTCACCTGAGGGAAAGCCAAAGTTATCGCATTGGGTGATAAAGCCCTAGCCTCTGTCTCCTGGTCACATGACCTTCTCCCTTGGCACTCTCCCCACCTATTGCTCACTTTGCCTCAGCCACATGGGTCTTTTTGTTCTTTCTTAAGTGCTTTAAGGTGTTTGTGCTTACTATTTCCTCTTCTTAAATATCTCCATGGCTAAGACTCCTCTTTAGATCTTTGTTCAAATGCCATCTTCTCAAGAAAGCCAATGACAAGATCTCTATTTAAAATTGCAGTTTCTACCATAGCCGGTTTGGTTCAGTGGATAGAGTATTGGCCTGCAGACTGAAGGGTTCCAGGTTTGCTTCTAGTCAAGGGCACATGCCCAGGTTGCAGGCTTGATCTCTAGTGGGGGGGAGGTGTGTGTGTGCAGGAGTCAGCTAATTAATGATTCTCTCTCATCACTGATGTTTCCATCTATCTTTCTTCTTCTCTGAAACCAATAAAAATCTATTTAAAAAAGAAAATTTATAAAATTGCATCTTCTGTACCTGTCAAGGTATGTACCATTGCCCATCCTCTGTCCTATCCCTCCCACCGATATGTCCTTCTAGTGTATGTATTTATAATTCATCTATTCCTTACTTTGGTAGTTGTCTCCTCTTGTAAGTGCCAAGGCTACTGTTGTTTGTTTGTTCACTGATGGATCCCCCAAGCTTTTAGAATAAGGCCTGGCACATAGTACCTATTTAATAAAGACTTTCTGAAAGAACAAGTAGATGGAAGCAAAGGCACTGCTCCAGTTCCCATTAGAAGCTCCTAAATTCTGGAAACAAGGAGAGGCTTCTCAGAAGAAGCAATATGGAATGTGGAATGTCAAGGAGACATAGGAATTGGAAGAAAGAAGGGTCACTAGCTCCGCAGAGAGGAAATAAGGCATGTAAAGTCCCCAGTGCAAGGAGGATGTAAATATTTCCATAGGCCCGGAGGTTGAACAGAAGTGTTTTTGAGAGAATTCTCAGAGCCAGAACTGTAGAAATATGCATGATCCAGATCTTGTGTGGCTGAGGGTTTGTTTGTTTGTGCTATTCTGAGAGCAACAGGGAACTATTAGAGGTGACTGATGACCATGGTTTTGGCAAGGAAGATTATTATGACTGCCCTGGTGACAACAGATTGTAGAGAGTGCACATGGTTGCAGGGGAGCTTTTAGTAAGATGCTGCAAACAATCTAGGCAACAGATGATAATTGTATAAATTAGGGTTGTAGCATAAAAGTGGCAGGAAGTAAATGATATTTGTTGTATTTGCCAAATCTTTAATTTTTTTGTAAAATAAATAATAACTGCAAAAGCATAACCATTCATTTATAACATATTGCTAAAAATTTGGTTGAGAGATATGTGTCAATTAAAAAAAGGAATCTGAAAGGAAGTCTGTATCACTTGTAATCTTATTGGGCCTGAATCTCATACAGTGGTTTGCACAGAGGAAGCACATAATGAGTATTTGTTGCAATGAAGAGTAATGAAATGAAAAAATACAAATGCTTTGAAAATGTCAAATCACTGAGAAAGAAAAAATAGGTAATTATCATTGCTATAAAATTTGGTTTAAATTTCTTCTCTAGCATTTATGTTTATTTTATTCAGCCATGGCAGAAAAGCAGCATTATTTTACTTGATGAAATGTAAAATGACTATAGTTATCAGACCTACACCGTTATGGCACCTGGTTGTAAATGGCACAATTAAAATTGGCATTTTTACCTCCTGTACCTTTGTTTTCCAAGACAAGGAAGATTTCAAGGATGATATGCTACTCTCTCAAATATAATTTACAACTATTTTTATTTTTAGATAGATTTTCAGTGTCTTCAACAACTTGCAAGATATAACTATACATTCTACTTGGTCATATCAACAATTTAAACCTTATTTAGATTCTTGTGTCTTCCATGTCTTTCTGAGGTTGAATTTAACAATAATATGTGACTAATACTTGCGTGGCATTTAAAGAGTGCTTTCCCACAAGAATCCCATTTTACTCAAGAAATGACTTTACAGCAAAGACTCCAACTTTCTTAATTGCTGTCCTAAGAGAGTTGTTAAGCCTGTCTGAAAATAGTATAATCTTTTCAGTCCAGTAATTAGTGCCATGCATTAAATAGCACCCTGGTGGCCTAATAGAATTAATTCTGCTTCGTGAATGTTTTAACTGGCCAAAACCACAGCTGACATTGGAATCCCCTACTTTTGATATTAAAGCATTTTGCCACTTGAGAACCTATGGGCTGGACATGTTTAGATCCTTATATTTTGTGGTTTTA